TGTGGTATTTTGTGACAATAAGAGGACATCAGGATAGACATGGTTACGAGCCTTGGCTGCAGGTTCAGATCTAGAAAACCCACATTATCACAGGTATATGACTCTCTCTATAGTCTGGTGACTGGCTCTGGAGTCACTGAAATTGGATAGCCTGATGGCCAAAGCATGGAGTTCATCACATCTAGACTCTTGGGAGAGCAAGGTCCTTGCCAAATGTCCACATTCCTATTAGTGCCAAACATGAAATTCTCTACCTTCAAGATGAAAAACCTTCTCCTTATGAAAGGGTGTATTTAGGTAAGAGTGGACAGGGAAAGGTGTCAATGGTCTTACAATCCATATACATTTCACAGTGACCACTGCCTTGAGGGTCTATTGGAAGATTCCAGTAGCCTGGGGCACTCAGTTACTCCACAGCTCAGGGATATGTGGCTAGAAGAACAGAAGTTACTGCAGACAAATGTTACTGTTAGAAGTAGATAAGATTGGAACATTAGCTTTGCTTTTTTCCCCCACCTGGGACACTGAGCAATTTTCTTGATATTTCTAAAAATTTCAATTGATAGGATGAAAACATCAAAACATGTTTATGCTTACCTGTTAGGATAGGATGTGGAGTGCTTAGTACAAAAATGCTCACTGGATTTCTGTATTATGCGATATTGAGATTCTGAGGATTTTATTCTATTTTCAGAGTCTAAAGGATTCATTAAGAAAACTTTGACTAAGGGCCGGGGATTTAGCTCAATGATTCTGCCGCCTTCCTCGCAAGCACAAGGTCCCAGGTTTGATCACCGATATAAACAAAACAAAACAAAACAAAAAAAATAACCCCTTGACTGACTGGTTTTAATTAGTATTCTAGGCTGTTCGGCGCTTCTGTGCTAATGTTTCCTCCATAGGGGTGGTGACTCATATTCCAAATGCTCCTCATACAGAGTACTTGGGAATCTCCCTGCTTCCTGCCACGTGGGTGGGTTTGCATCTCAGGACCAGTGCAATGTCCTTACCAGGTGAGAGCCTTCTCAGGGTCCCCTGGCACCTGATTTTAGATGTGCAGACAGGAGGTGGGAAGCTGCACCTTGGGTTAAAGGGAGACAGACTGTATTTCACCCAATTTATTCAGATGTCCTCTAACCTGACAAGCCTTTACTCCAGGGAGCTCTCTGTGAGCCTGGCTGGGGCCACATAATAAGGGCACTGTGAAGCTGAGCAGGCAGGAGGGAGGCAAAAATAAACAAGAGGATGTGTGTCTTAGGGGGAGGAATATTTTCTTGGAGGATTAGGTAGGAGGCGGGAGGTATGCAGAAAGCCGAAAATTACTAAGGATGAAACAGTGAGCAGCTAACTGCTGCTGAGAGCAATGGCACTCTGAAGAGGGCCTGTCAACAGCAGGAGGATGCCTCCTCTCACTCAGGAGACCTTATCGTTACATTCCCTTCCTTTCTACTCTCCCACGAAATTGGGCGATTCCTTGAACTATATCTGATGAGAGGGGTCTTTGGTTTATTTCACATGTATTTAGACTTTCTTCTTCTTCTAATTTAGACTGGAAAACACTTCAAAAGATCATCTGCTTCTAAGAGAGAGGGCAATCACTGCACCAGAAAACACAAATGCATTTCTCTTGTCTTTTTGATGCAGGATCTGGAAATACGGAGAATTCAGAGCAACTCCAAGGAACTCTGTCTAGATGGTTGTCTTTGTACTTAATTTTTAATTTCCTTTATCAATTGTCTTCAATTTAAAATGATGTTACTATGCATTATTGTGTGTCACTGTAATAGGAGGAGAGGGGCCGCTACAATGAACCCAAACGATGACAGGTGGTGACATAACCATGTACGGTACAGAACCGTCAGCCTCTATCACAAATGAGAAAGGTACATTCATCTTCATGGCAAAAGTGGGAGCCTGGTGAATGTTTGGGATGATTTTATGGTACGAGCAATTGCAGGCCTGGTTTCTTGCAAGTGGAGTCTTGTACACAGAGATATTTGTGGGTTAAGAATGCAGGACTACCAGTTTTCAGGGGTGGTTTTTAAATCCTGTAGTTAAAAAAAGTACCGGATTGTTTCCCAAACAGAATCTCTCTGTGCTGCTTGTGGGGTGGTATGTACCTCTCTCAAAGGTGGCCGATTTAGCTTTCTGCTGATCTTGGAGCAAAGAGGAAGGCAAGATATTGAGGTGTTGGTAAGAAGGCAATAGCCAACCCTCCAAATCATCACTGCCTGTCCACTGCAACCATTCAGCCACTCCAGAGGCAGCTGTGCCTGGGCTCTAAGTTGGTTGTACTTATAGGACAAGAAGTTAGGCTAAGCTTAGCAGCAGGGAGGTGAGGCCCAGAACAGGCCTAGGGAAAAGAACTATTCTTCAAAGAACAAACCTAAAGTACAAAAGTACAGATGGTCCAAAAGTATACAGATGACTCTTTTATCAAAGGAGTGAATGTTCAAGTTACGGTCATTTATGAGTTGCTACAGTAGCGAAATTAAGAGAATCTGACTGTGTACATACAGCACTAGCAGAACACTTTGGGCACACCAAGAGGACGAGCAGCAGATATCTGATATGTTCTACTCAGGAGCGCTGAGTTCTTATAGTCACGTGTAAGCATCATCCTAAACCACATTGACATCATTCAGGGATTTTTTTTAGTTAACCTTTTTAAAGGTTTAAATAGCACTCAGTAATAAAAGAGCACTATGCACAGAAGTCAATATATATAGTCAACCTAATAATAAAATATTTAAGCACAGATGTATGCCTTCAAATGATAAATTTAAATCATGCTCATAGGTGGTCCATGACACCAGCAAGGAAGCGAAAAAGATATTTACTATAGTCCAGGGGACTGGTTTCTCTTACACTGGTTGTGGCAGAGTTGGGATGCCTGTGCAGGGATATGGTCCGGCAGCATGTGCCAGAAATCTCAGAGTCATCCAGAGCCTCTAACCCAGCAATTCTACTTCTAAAAACTTTACCCTAGAAAGTGAGTAATGAGGCATGTAAAAAAGATTCATCTGTAGGAATGCTTACTTTTCGAATAATTTAGCATATCAAAACATGGCAACAACCAAAATATTGTGATAGGTAAGTGGCTTTATATAGTCCGAGGTAATGGAACACCAGGCAGACAATGCAAGCGGGGCTGTAGATAAAGAATTCATGACTTAGAAACCATTCACGTGGAATTGGTACAATAAGAAAGCTGCTTGCAAAAATATTTTTCCAATGTGTTTATCTGAGAAAATATAGGTATATCCTTCAAAATGAAAAACTATATAAGTATACTTACAAATGCCTTTTAAAAGCCTGAATGTACACCAGAATATTAATATTTTATTTTTAAAAAGTATTAACATTTCTGAAATATTTTTCAGTGCACCTCAATGACTTTGTAATACTTAGAAAAGTTAATTAAAAAATTAAGTGAGGATGTAATGTCAGCCATATGACAGACAAGAAGGTCACAGCCTTCACTATGTACAAATGCAACAATTAATAGTGAGTCACAAACAGCTCTGGGATAGCTCAGGGTAAAATGCAGAAGGTGCTACAACCCAGTAAGGCACAAAAACCAAGGATGACTGCATGAAAAGTACTAGAATTATTTTATATATGCTGTCCCATCCCCCAGCAGAGCACCGCTAGTGCACAAGGGGGATCCCCTCAGCATAACCTCTCTTGTGGAAAGAAAGACTAGTAGCAGGAACCCAGCAGCCTTCCCTACTGAGGGCTGCAGCAGTTCTGACACCAAGAAGGTAGGAAGATAGTGAAACACCTGCTGCTTTCATGAGTGATGACCCCACAGGCATCACCTACAATCGACGACCCCAACTGGAGGAGCTGCCCCAGATCCAAACCACTATGCCCATTTGGAACTAGAGCTGCCACACTCCTTAGCTGTACTGCCACATGCATGGCTACAACTCAAGGTCAAAACCCTCAAAATCTAATTTTAAAAAAATCAGTAAAGGACGTGACTACACATTTTTCAGAGATACACAAATGGCTAGAAAGTGAGTAAAAATGGTTTCAAATATCACTAATTAGCAGGCACATACAAATCAAAACCATACCAAGACATCACCTCACCCAGTCAGAATGCCTATTACTAAAAAGATAAAAGATAATAAATGCTGGTGAGGATACAGAGAACATGGTTGAGGGAATGCAAATTGGTGTGGCTATTTAAAAAAATAGTACAGAAGTTCCTCCAAAAGTGGAAAAAGAGAACTACCATATGAATGCACAATCCCATTTCTAGGTATACATCTGAAGGAAATGAAATCAATATCTCAAAGAGACCTCTGTACCTTCATATTCATTTCAGCATTATTCACAGTAGACATAACACAGAAAACCTAAATAACTGTCAACAGACAAGTGGATAAAAATATGACATACATCTATAGATGGATAAAGGTCTATATATCCATCATATATAGACCTATATCCATCTATAGATGTATACAGATGCACAATGGGATATCATTCAACCTGAAAATAGAAATTATGTCATTTACAATATTATGGATGAATAGGGAGGTCTTATGATAAGTGAAAAAAAACCCAAGGAAACAGATACAGAATTATCTTGTTTATATGTGGAATCTCCAATAGTGAAATCCACAATAACATAATGTAGAATAGAGGTTGCCAGCTGCTGGGGATAGGAGTGGAAACAGGGAGATGTAGTCAAGGGGTACAAATTTCCAGTTGTGCAACATGAACTAGGTCTGGAGGCAGACAATGTTTGTATAGTTCGAAATATCACATTAGATGCTTGAAGTTTGCTAAGAGGGGTAGATCTCACCCAAAAAGAAAACATAGGCATGCAAGTTGATGGACATGTTAATTAGCTTCATAGTGGCAATTATTTCAAAAATACATATCTCAAAACTTGAAAGTGTATACCTTAAATATATACAATTTTAATTGGTCAATGACCTCTCAGTAAAGATGGAGAAAATTTTAAAAATGTGTGTTGCGTTGCTTATATCTACTGCAGATAGAATAATAATTGTGTTGAAGCTCATTTATATAGAAAACATTTACACTGCAAAATATTTCTATTTCACAGAATTTCTTACCTCATTTCTAAGTAACATTCTGTCTTTTCACACAAAATTACTCTTTTGATTAAACTTAATGATGAACGCATGTATAGTCACAGAAAGTATTTTCTACCTATATGTCTGTGCATATTGTGAACAGATATAATGTTTTTCTCAGTTTACTAAAGAGGCAGCAAGTAGCTCCACAAACCTAACTAGGCTGAGTCTTTCTCATGCTCCACCTGATGCCCACAGTACCTGTTGGAGAGTTGGATGCAGAAGGAAGCAGTTTTTGTCTTCAGGATTAAGGTGTGCACAAGAGGAATCTAGGTAGCAGAGGGACTGTGGCCCTGTAGTGCACTCAAGCTGTGGTGTGGGTTCCCCAAGCAGGGTAAGGTGGAGACCCTGGGAGCAGAGGTAGAGAGGGCTCTGACACCTGGCTTCAGTGGGGGTAAGGGTCCGAATGACTCTAGAGGTTAACTGAAAGCTGTGTCACTGCATTTTCCATAAAGCCCAAGAAACAGAATGTTCCTCTTTTACTGCTCATCAAGAATTTGCATTTATCTTAAGGTACTTTTCAGTTTTCAATCCAGACCATTGTATTCATTGGATGTCCTGTGCATGCAGAGGACTAACTGCTAGGGCAGATATAAAGATGTGTGTGGATAAAATCCCTGCCCTTAGAAGCTTACAGATTGGTAAGGTTGTTAAGGCAGATTCTCACATAATAGTTTATGTCATATTAAAGTAGGCTCCATGTATCTTTGGTCTGTCTGTATCTCATCCAAAACCTAGTGATAAAGATATTTCAATGCTAAATGCCAGTGTTATTACTCTTTTGATATTATCTTAATTATTCATTGCTACAAAAATTCAGCAGTTTCCATGATTTTTCGGGGAATATCCAAACTCTTTCTGACAGGAAGCACATTTGTATTCATAATTAGTGATTATATAATTTGCCCATTAATTTAATGAATCTAGATGTCTTATGACTGTTTTGCATTTCAACAGATAAACTTTGACAAAATATCTCGAAAAATGTTAACTTGTCTTGCCACACCCAGCAGCTAGTAAGGAACTTTTTGTCTCCCTAGTAAGGAACTTCTTATCTCCTAGCTGTGTTACCTGCACCTCATATAACATTAAGTGATATATGTAAGTAAACCTTATCCCCACCCCCAAGCATTATTCAGCTAAATGGAGAAAGTAAACTAGGTGTGCACTCTTTTTTGTACTCACTTAAAACATACTTAGGGATTCATATTATCATGGAAATCATTTGGGTCTTTGAATACTTGGGCTTCAAATTCCATTTGGCTCTGTAAAATAAAAATGCTTAACTTAGTACAACTTCCAAAAAAGGTAGAGCAAAACAAAAATGCTGGGTATGTCTGTTCAGTGTTTCTAGAGAGACAAGGTAACTGAGGGAGAGTGAATACTGTGAACTCCTAGTTCATGTGTTTTTCACTCCTACATCTGGTCAGTGCCGACTATATTCCAAGTGTGACACTTAGTTCTGGAGCCACAAAGATGTACAAGGCCCTGTGATTCAGCTGTCTGGGAGCTTCCAGCCTAGTGACAGATATGGGCCAGAACCAGGGGGACAAGTCAGGCTGTGAGGGTTGCGGGAGGAGGCAGGCAGCCAGAGTGAGGAAGCAGTGTGGTTTAGTGAGCCAAAGACCCAAGTGCTTTCACAGGATGTATTAAGAAGGAGTGTGGTGAGACCTCAGCAACAGAAGTTTCAGAACTACAAGGTAGTGATACTTTTAATTCTGGAGAATTCTTTCAAGAAGCTTGGCAGTGAGAAGGAAATCTATTAGACCGGAAGTAGAAGTAGCTGTGGAATTAAGGTAATTATTTTCTTCCCTCTTGCCCTCTTAGCCTTCGGTTCTTTTCCCTTCCAGTTTTGTTTTTCTGATGCCACACGTTTAGATCTTTTAGAATCTTGATGGGAAGATTTTACTAGTGAAGGAAAAGATTGAAGATGCTGGGTAAAGGTAAAGTAGATGATGAAATACTTCTGGGGAGGAAGTGCAGGAGGAGGAGGGAGACAGGTCCAGAACTCTCCATCAGACACTGCTTACCATCTACTCACCCTTCCACTTACCTTTCCATCATTTACTAGGAACCTACTTTGTGCTACACACAAGATGTGGAAAAATAGCGAGAAAAGAACCAAGTTTATGACTTCAGGGACCTCACATTTATTTATGTGGTGAGACAGACCGTAAAGTGAAAAGAACCAAGTTTATGACTTCAGGGACCTCACATTTATTTATGTGGTGAGACAGACCGTAAGTAAGTACATGATCTTTAGAAAATGTAAAGAACTACAAAGAAAAAGAAAGTGTCGTTAGAGGATGGCATGGATAAAGTAGTTATGGTGGCTAAGGCAAGACTCCAGGAGGAAGTGACGTTTGAACAAAGACTAGATAAAAGGAGGGGCTGAGACGCGGAACAGCCTGGGGAAGGGCATCTGAGCAGCAAATGTAAGACACGGAGGGAGGGAAAACAAGACAGTGGTCTACAGCTCTGAGGACGCAAGAGAACAAGGATGTGTGGGAGACGTGGCGGAGAGAGGAAAAGCAGCCACTGTGCCCTCTTTGGAAACCACTGAGAGGTTTTGAGCAAGGGTGGGTCATGATAACATTTGCATTGTTAAATATAGTGGATACTGTGGAGAAAAGGCAGTAGGGGACAGCAGTGGAAGCAAGAAAGCTAATAATTTGGAGTAGGTGGCAGATAAAATACTTTGATGTAGTTTAGTGGCCAAGAGATGTGTGAAGAAAAGGTTATAATCAAAGATGTATTTTAGAGGACCGGCTAAGAATGTTACAGGAGAGAAGTTAAGAATGGCTCCGCAGTTTCTGGCTGAATAATAAGGTGCACTGGGGTGCCACTTAAGGACACAAGGGAGACTCATTGACTGTTGCTAACATGAATAAGTTCATGAATAAAAAATATAGTACTGGGCTTCGATAATACAATGAGATGGAGGAGCAGGCTCTTCATTAGTGGTCTTTCTGTATTTAGAAGCTATTCTCTCTACCAGTAAAGTTCTGGACTGTTTCTCCTAGATTATATTTCAGTTATGGCTCAGTTACCTTTGGATCAGGCAGACATGGTCCAAAGGCTTCCAGAAGAAGAGCCTCTTCTCTCACAGCTTTCTCATAGTCTGCGAAAGATAGCTTCCCATCATGGTCATAGTCCTGGGGAAAGGAGGGCGTGCAGCAGCGATGCATCAGTCAACACATAACTTACTGCAAATAGATACTCTTTTTATAATCAAGTGTGAACAGAGGAAGTTGTTAGAAAAGTAACAGATTAAGTTATGAAATTGAAAAGAATGTCCTGAGGGTTCTGTGGATGGAACCTGGGGCTTTCTGTATGCTAGGCAAGCTCTCTGCAATTGAGTTACACCACTAGCCCATACTAATTCTTAGTATTATAATTAAGAGCACAATTCAAATGCATTACTTAATTAAACAACCTAAAATGATCATAATTTGTATTTTTATTTATATTCCACATGTTACCATTAATTTCAATAGAAATCTCCAAATCTCCACACTTACCATTTTCTTAAGTGCTATTTCAACCAAATCTTTAATTCCTTCATCAGGATCTTCCTCAGATGGCTGTTTGAGAAGGCTGTTCTTCAGCATGTGAAACATTTCCTCCTTTGAAATGAAGCCATCACCATTCAAATCAAACACTTCAAAGCAATCTTTAAAAAAGTAAGTTGTGAATTTGCTTTTATTGCTGGGATAGCATTTTGTGACCGGGTTTCCAGAGCTAATGTCTATCTTGTTGAACTCTGTGAACCTCGTTGTAACCTCACTTTCATTAGAAAGGTCAGATATGCACTAGTTTAATATATTCAACAACGCTTGGAATAAGTTCCCTTATTCTCAGCTATGAAAAATCACACCAAAGCACCATAACTGGACAATTTGATCTTGCTGCTCTTAAAAAATTGATTGAAATAAGATTTCTATAGAGTTGATCAGAATTAATTGAAAATTAAATAGAATCAAAGCAATTGGATTATTGTGCTCTGGTTTGATGTCTACAATTCAGGTAGCATGAAATTCTTGTACAGAAATGCATACAGTACATGCACAATTAGAATGTTTAGTAATGCATCTGCCATCTTCCTTGGCATGCATCATTCTCACAATTGCTTGACTTTCATTTTTATTAATTTTTAAAATTCTTTGTTGACTTGAATTTCCTCCAGTAAGAAGCTAGTGAGAATTTAAAGCAGCAAGCAACCAACCAACGAACCAACCAACCACCAATAAAAAAAATCAACCAACCAAACAACCACAGACCCACTTAGTTGACTGGCTGGAGGAGAGTGATTTAAATGTTTTAGCTATATCAATTATACCCAAACCAGCAGGGTAACCAGAACTCTTACATTTCATTTTTTCTTCTAAAGATCCTCGAAGAAACAGTGATAATCCATTAACCCATTCTGTCACTTTTATATTGCCATCATTGTCTTTATTAAAACCTCGGAATACTTTAGAGAGAGAGGAGATGGAGAAAGAGAACAGGAGATAATTGTGCACATTGTAATTCTCTGTAAGGTATCTACATTAGCATTACTTGTTTTTAGAATCAGAGAAAACTTCAGCATCCCATAGCCCAATGTTCTCATTTGACAAAGGAGGACACTAAGATATTATAACAACAGGAAACTCTTTCAACATTGAGATTTTCTCTTCATATTTTGTGGGGACAAAGAATATTCTGAACACCTAAATATAAGAAGCAATAATGATATATTTTCACATTAAATATGCTATTTATATTAGATATGTTTAATATATTAATATGAAATATATAATTTTATATTTTATTACTGAAGACAGGTAATATATGAGAAGACTGTATTATAATTTTTATTAAGTTATTGTCTAAGATGTACAGATATTTAAACATCTTTTTAAAGTATTCCATTTATTAGATTACTATGTAGAAGTAGAAGTTGTGGAAGCTTTTGGATATAAGATAAGGGAAACATTTCCTTAACATGAATTTGCCTTCTTTTAAATACACAAAATGGGTAGAATATTACTTTCTCTTCTATGAACTTTGGAAAATTAAATTTTTATATTCAAGTAAAATTGGGAATGTTGAACATTAAACTCCCTACCAAGAGCAAACTCCAACCTTTTTTGGATTCGACTGATTTGAAGTGTGTATGCCTCTTACCTCTGTCCATAATCATGTCATCTGTCATTCCAAATGTCATGTGCAGAATGTTCCGAAATGCATTGCGATCTAGTCCAATGGGCACCCCTGGGCGCTCGGCTGCATCTCCCACCAAATTATAGAAAAGCTTTATAAGACAGTTCACTTCAAATTTATTAACTGTAAAATAATAAAATTAAGATTTTAAAAATTTGTGTTAAATCTTTAAGTGATAAGGCATTAATATAAGTATACTATCAGAGACACAAAATATGTATTTCTTCCTAGATATCCTAATTTATGGTTCATGACACTTAAGTTAATGGAAGATGATGGCCAGTGATTGTCCAAAAATACAATGTTCCTTCCAAACAGGAGCTGATTATGAAATAGACCTAAACACAATCATGCTGTACAAAAAAAAAAATATATATATATATATATA